CGCCCGCCTGCTGACTCATCCTCACATTAACAACCTGTGTACACAACCGGCCCCATGTGTGTGTGCAGCGTTGCATTCATGTGTGTTTGTTTAACAAAATACACTCACCTGCATCAACACTAATGTGAATAACCTACTGCTGTTTAATGCAGGACTGAAAAGTAATGAAACAAGACAAATAGGGACTGTGGGAGGGTCATGCAGAATAGAATTGACATGCTCCTTGTTTAGAGACAAAACGGTTTGTGCTGTATCTCACAATAGGTCATGATTGTTTTCAGTTTAGTCAACGCAGTCTAAACACTGCAGATACATTTGCATGCAGCACTTTTTTTTTAATCACACGCCTGTCCGCTCTGACTGTTTTACACGACACACAAAAAAGGTTCAGAGAGATTGAAAATGCAAAGCAAGACTTTACACAGAGTTAACCAAACATACCCCGCCCTTCACACAAGTAAAGTTAGCATAAATAATAGCTCAGAGGCTGATCTGACGACTTTATAAAAACAGCTGGTTGGTAAAGATATAGAACTTCATGAGTCCCAGATGTGTTGCAATAGTTCATTCATTCAAAATGAAGCTGACTGCAGTGCAAACTTCACTCGTAACCAGTGGTGGGACGAACCCAACACAGGTCATGAGTGAAGTTTCTTATGCCTCTACTACTTGTGGTAACTAGTTACTTTTATGATGTAATAACACCGTTACAATCACTAACATTTAAAGGAAGATTGTGCAACATTTTACACATAAATACAGCAGAAGTCAAGTATATCCTGTAAATGTCTCTCTGAGTCATGACTGTCTACAATGAGTGAGAAGCGCGAGTCCCTCCAGCTGTATTGTTGTCAGAGCTGTGTTTACATCACGTTTAAATGGACTAGAGAAAAGAGGAATAACATACTCACTGATTATTTGGATGTCATGTAAGTGTCAATTTATGTGCGATGTGAGGCTACGAGCTAACCAAAGTGCGCTAACATTAGCCTGCAAACACAACAATGCAGGACACAGGCACTTGCAGCTCGAGCAAAAGCCAATTTTGTCCGCAACTTGGGCTTAATGGTTCGTAAGCGGAGGTGTGGAAAAAACAGCAGTTTCTTTTGGTTTCATGCTGGGTGCTCAAGGGCTGGATCAAAAAGTCGCACATTTATCCTTTAAAAAGCACGCGTTACTCTTTACGTGAAACAGCCGACGGCAACACAAGATTAAGCTTTATTGACGTTGATTTGGCGGCGAGGTAAGGTTCACGTTAGCACAGTAGCATCCTGGGAGAAATAATGTAAACACACAGGTCAGACGTGAGCTTTCTGTCACAGAAATACCGACATTATTTTTCCCTGCTTGAGTTAAAGAACAAGAATAAAGCAGTGAGTTGTAGACTTGAAACTAGACTCTAGACATTACAATAGTTATTTTAAATGACATGCCCATCACCAGTATCACATGGGAACCAACTAAAGTTCAATGAGGAGACATTTTAAGTACACACCAATGTCAGTCCAATCATAAATAACATGGGAATGTCAAAGGTAGCTTTTCTCCATTTTTTTTTAGAGTAATTGGAAACTTATTTTTTAATGTCTGTGTTTATGAATGGGTTAACGGTTATATGAAGACCGGACACTAAATAATGTGGAACTATCAACAGTACCAGGCATGTTATAGTGTCATATGGAATATTATTTATTCAGGGTCAGGGTCCTAAGACGCTGACTAGACTCTTCTCCTCTGTCGCCCCCCGGTGGTGGAATGAACTTCCAAAACTCCATTCGATCTGCAGAGTCCCTCTGCACCTTTAAGAAAAAGCTAAAGACCCAGCTCTTTCATGAATACCTACTAACTTAATGATGATGGTCTCCATATTATTGATGATGATGATGGTTGTGACGATGGTTTTTGTTTGATAACGATGACTTATAAGATGGTTTCTATACTGATTAGAGCTCTCAAGAACTGCCCTCAATGTTGTGCTTTGCCTCTGGTCACTTCCTGTCAGCACCTGTGTGTCCAATCAGACTCAAAGCTGATCGTTTGCTCTTACTGACATTGTTCCCTTTTTCTAGATCCTTGCTTGTGTTGTTCTTACTCTCTGATGTACGTCGCTTTGGATAAAAGGGTCTGTGAATTGTAGAATTGTATTTAAGCTTCAAATATCGCCGCCTCAGTAAAATACCAACAGGTTGGTTCAAAAACATTTCATTATATCCCGATCTGATAAATATTATTAGAACTTCCTGTTTATTCTTTATTCAGCAGGGAAATTGTCCAAACTGTCTGCAGCTTTTTGTCACTTCTCCCGCTGCAGCCTCCTGCTCTCAAACAGTCTCCAGGCGACAAGACATTACTCTCAAACGAGCCTATTGTCTTCTCCACATGCTTTCTCAGAATGCAGGGAGGCTTTTGTCTCTCCTCTGCGGGTAAAAAGCTTTCCACAACTTGATCGGTTTGACAAGAAGAAAAAAAAAGGTGGGCGTTTGCAATGCTGTCCAGAGATGACGGGGGGAACACCATAAAAAAAAAAAAAATCCCCAGCCTTCTAATTTGATAACCCAAGCGTGAGATCCAGGAGAGCTGTGACTCACCTGTGGATGCTGCTGTAGAGTTTGTACAGACATCAGAGCAGCAGATTATTGAGGGAATCGATCATTCTTCCACGCTGAATTACCGGGTAAGGGAATGTATCAGGGACCGGGCAACCAGCTGCTACAGCTGTCACAGTTAAGTCAATGAAATTAACAAGACGACATGCATGGGCAGCTTCACACTGTTTATCTTCACACAGTGTTTGTTCCAACTAACACATGTGAGTCATCGTCCTCACACATGAATTCTATTACAAACCAGCAGGAGCCAATCACTCCTCAGGCAGCATCTCCTTCAGTGTCTCTGGAGGTCAAATCAACACAAACACAAGTGTGCAGCCTTGCAGGTCTGATTATTGAATCTTAACACAAGCATGTTTGGTGGAAATGGGCACAATCACGGATTCATCACAAACATATCTGTATGAGTGTTTATGGTTCCAATGGAATCTGTTTCACAGAACACACAATGCAGGGATTGAAGCTGTGTGTGATTAAGCATTGATGCCATCATGTAGTCTGTCAGCAGATCACTGCAAAAACTGTGATTTTGCAGAACATTTTCTGGGGTTGGGGGTATTAAGAGTGGACAGTGCTAAGCCTCCATAGTTTACAATCCTCTCAGTCTGCAGGGATGCACCAGCCCAACATTTAAAGTAGCATTCTCTTGATGGCAGTGGATATCGAGTTGTTAGTTTGGGATCAGTGGAAGATTTAAGCTTGTCGCAGATTGCATTGAGTGGCGTGAGACTCGTGTCCAACCAGTCCACTGTTAAAGGTGAACACAGATCCTGGAAGAAGCTGTGGACGCTTCAGATGTAACTAACTTAAAATACCTCCAAACTGCCCTTAGCCTTTACTGTTAGCTACCTCTTTGCTATGTTGGCTCCACCTGACAAATTGCTTCAGGCCTACCAGAGCACCGATGACATCACCATGGTCTGTATACTACGAACTTGGCATAAACAAAGAAAAGCATTGAACTGAATTGTAAAGATCAGCCACATGGATCAAACCATTGTCACAAATACTCGATCTGTGTGAGTCAGTATCGATTAATCGATATCAGATACCAGGACAGAATCGGTGCATACCTAGTACGCAGCACATGTAGCAAAGCATCCCAGCTGAGCAGACAGATATCTGCACCAGTGTTGGTCAGCAAACACTTCAATATTCTGTATTCTTTTTTATCTGTTTAAGAGAGCAGCATTGACAGCTACTTTGTCATATAAGTGCAAAAACTCTGTGCACAATCCATGTACAAAAAGGTCCATTGAAAAGTCATTAAATCAGCTGCCTCGCCTGAAAATATAAAAATTTTAAATCCTTTAAAAATTTTGGCTTTTTTTAGTGTTCGTATGGGGGGTGTGGATCAGTTTCTTAAGTTAGTCGACTTCATTTTCATCAGCTGTTCCTGATTTGTTTTGATTTTTTTAAACTAAAACTAGAGACTTGTTCTGAATCGTTGCGCAATGAGAGTAGAGCTGGGAAACATATCGAGTTTTTAAGATATATCGATATCTTTTCAGACTAGATATAGGGTAAGACAATATCGTTTATATGGATTTAGTTTATGTTGCATTAAAATAACGTTACAGAGGTGCCAGGTCACCTTTTTCTCATCTCACTGATGATGTCTGTCCCTCTTCACCCTGCTCCTCCTCTCTCTCTCTCTTTTAATGTATTTAAGGAACATTGTTCTTTTATAATATTACTTTTTAAATTCACAAACAGGTAGTTTATTTTTCCACGTGTTTTCACTGTTAATAAAAGGCATATCGATATCGAGTAACGCCATTCAGCTAAACAATATCGAGATATGACTTTTGGTCCATATCGCCCGGCCTAAATGAGAGGTGTGTATATTTTTGTTCAAAACAAGTCAAATATATTTTTTTTTTACAAATCCAAAACCTTAAGGGATGCATTCACTCAGAACCAAAACCTCAAAATAGTCTTTGCATTATTTGGTAGTAAAGACAAAAGCAGCAACCTGCCTGAAACCCCCCAAAAAGATTACGCTCTAAAACAAAATGCTTCATTAATCTCTTAATAGTTTCAGCTTTGACTTTTAATCAGTAAATCAGTTGTCAACTGTTTAGTATTTAGCTTATATCTTGCTAAAAAAAAAAAAAAAAAAAAACACAGACTGGAGGACTTCGTGTTCTCATTTTCTGCATAACATTTTGGTAACATTGCCCCCCCTCCATGTGATCCAGGACGACCCGCCAAGCCCTGCTGTAAACAAACACGTGTCAGTGTCACTACAGTTCAGGGAGTCAGTGATCTGAGACACACACACACACACACACACACACACACACACACACACACACACACACACACACACACACACACACACACACACACACACACACACACACACACACACCTGCTCTGCCCTCTTACCTCCGAACAGATGAGGCGAGAGGTGTGCTGGTAAAGATCCTATCATCAGCCGGGGACCTTCGTGCCCTCCTCCTCCTCCTCCTCCTCCTCCGCCTGATCCCTGCTCCCGGTCCCCCGCATCCTCCGGGCTGCTGCCGGACTCCGGGGAGCTGTAGGCTCCGCTGCTGTTCGGAATGTTAATACCGGACTGAGGTCTGGTCCCGGAGCCCCCTGCAGACCTGGCTCTCGCTCCAGGGTGCTGGCTGGTGCTGGCCCCGGAGGCTCCGGACGCGCCGTACGCATGGTACCTCACACCCCCGGCGGTGCTCCTGCTCACATTACCCCCGTTGCTGCTGGCCGTGCTGGAGGGCAGGTCCGACCCGGAGTAGGCTCTGGTCCGTCCGTTAGCAGCCGGGTTAGCAGTCGGGCTGCTCTGCTTTGCCCCCATGTTAACCCCCACCTCCCCCCCTGCCCCCCCAAACCCACCCCGACCACTGACTTTGAAATATTAAAGAGGCGCTCTATGAGCCACTGCGGGACAGTGCGCCAGATTTACGCCCCAAGGCGGACGCTCCACAGGACAGGACGAAAAGGCAGAACTAACTCAGCGACATCCAGGAAATGTCAGTGAATGAAAAGTTGAACATGCCACCCGAGACAAGAGCTGAAGACGTGTGTAAAACTTTAGCAGCCGACCGTCACCATTGTGTTCAGTCAGTCAAGAGTTGAAGCTGGTTCCGGGCAGGTAAACGTCCTTCCCTCCCTGGGTCTCTGCTGGGTCCTCCTCAGGCTCCGCTCCGCCATGGCTCCTCCTGAGCAGCGTGAAGGAGTGAAGAGCCCGGCTCCTCACACCTCCTCTGCCTGACAACACATTGCTCAAGAGAAAGGAAGTGATGGAGGAGAAAGCCCTGCGAAAAAAAAAAAAAAAGAAGCGTTTAATCAGCGGCAGCGAGGAGGAGAGACCGCACCACAAGTACGACAAGCTGGCTGAGCTCACGACGGCTTCCGCTCAGACGTTTCAAAATAAAAGCAGTTGTACTTTTTCTACAGGTACAATTTTAAAGCTCCGGTATACAAGTTAAAACTACCCTTAAAAGTCCTATAGTAATTTAACTTAAGGATTGATTTTTTTTTTTTTTAGTGTTACATGCTAAGAGGTTGGGCTTTTGACCTTAATATAATATATATGCTGCTATAATCAGCAGGTCCTGAGGAAAGCTAGGGCCATACTTGTGATCCCAGATCACCCACTTCACAGTGAGTGTGACCTTTTACCCTCAGGTCGTTGTTTTAGAGCTCATAAAAGACTCCAGGTCTCATTTTTACCAAGTGTTAAACAACAATTAGGTATTTGTTGCTCTTTTCGCACTTGAATTGCACATTTGCACACCTCCACTTTGCACTTTAATAACTTGAATCTCCATTCTGGTCCGGGCTCTTGACTGATTTTATTGCGTTGTTTTTATTTGGTTTTATATTTTGCTGTGTTGTCTGATTTTTAAAATTTGTTTTGGTTTATGTTTCATGGCGATGTTGTCCTTGTGTTTCTTGTCTTCTGTGTGCTGCTGTTGCGACGCAAATTTCCCCTTGTGGGACAATAAAAACTCTGAATCTGAATCTGAATCTGAGGTGTTTATAATCAGACATACCACCAATATGCCAGTGTCAGATACAAACAAACATATAGCTGTTAATACATTCATTCATTAATCATTTATAATAATAATAATAATAATAGATGGAATTTGTAAAGCTCCTTTCAAAGGACCAAAGGACGCTTTAGGGCAGAACAAGTAAGCTACACACAAACAGGATAAAACAGAATGAATGAATAAGGAAAGAATGATTGCAATGCTTTTCAGGAGGGTTTTTTTTTAAGTGTCCGAAGGGGTAGCATTAGAGATCTCTCTTGGGAGACTTGAGAGGGTAGGGGTTTCCACACTGAAGGCTCTGCCCCTGAAAGTCTGCAAGTTAGTGTTTGGAGAGGCGCGTAGACCGGGGTCTGAGGGGCCGGAGGAGGTCTGAAAGGTACTGAGGGGGGCAAGGTGGTGCAGTGTTTTGACCAGGAGTCATTGAAGATAGATGAGTGTGAGGAAGATGTGCTGCCATGGCTGAGTGATGGCTGAAGTCTGGAAATGAGAGTGAAGTCCAGGAAAACACCTAGAATACAGACGTCCAGCGATGGGTAGATGGAGCAGCCATCAACGTCAAGGGAAGATAATCTGAAGAAATGAAACACGACAGCAGAACTGTTGCCAAAAAAAGATCTAAGGAGCTACAACGGCCAAACGCATTTCTATTTGAAGTATCCAAGTTGCAACCATAGCCTGTTAAGATGGACAGAGCAACAGCTGACCGGCAGTGAAGCCAAAAGATTTAAAGCCACCCTGTGCTGACTGTCTGCAGTATAAGGTCATAATCCCCACCTCATCTCTGTTAACAAATGAGGCATAGGTCCAACTATAAGATGAAAATGCACATCAGATTGTTTTTCATAAGCACAGTTTTTTTATTTTCATCACAAATATTTTTGATTTCAACCCCTTTTTTTTCCTGAGAAGTTATTTATTCATACAGTAACTTGTTTGATGCTACATGTATGAAATGTGAAAAGCCATGATTGACAGCTCTGTTGATGAATGCAGCCCCAGCAACACTGTGTCATCAGATTACCATTGAGCAGATGCTTTTATCCAAAGCGATGAACATCAGAGAGTAAGTACAACACTAATCCAATCATACACTGCCACCGAAGCAGTGGGAGCAATGCAGTGTCTTGCCCAAGGATATGTTAGACATGTTGCTCAGCTGGGGATTGAACTCTTGACCTGCTGGTTGAGAGGTGATGACTCTACCAACTGAGCCACAGTCACCCTAGATGGTGTGGGCCTACAGCATGCATGAACGGTAACAATGAGTGTCTGTAACTGTTCTGCTGTGGACTACCCACCGTAGGGATTTTTGATATTTTATCATTTATTTTATCATATCGTCATCAAGTAAAATTTTCGTTTTTGTTAGCGGAAGAGGAGTGACGTCAACACTGCGACTTTTCAAGCCAGTCCCTTTGGTGCAGACTCTGGTTTAAGTCTGTCATATGTCAGAAACCGTTTTGCATCCTGTTCAATGATGAAGCCAAAAAAAAAAAAAAAAAAATCCACATTCATTCTATCAAAAATACTATTTAGTTTACGCATACTGTTCAAAAAGGTTTTACCTGCTCAAATAGGATATTATTATATTTGCATCAAACGTCACTTCACTTATTTTTAAATACACTGTATGCAGCTTGATTCACTTGAAAACAATCTGTGCGATTCAGCGCGGCAGTCGTGCTCTTATTTTGAAATCCAGTGGGCGTTATTCTGGTGGCGCGTGTTTATTTGTGGAAACTTGATGAGCTTTGGTCCTCGATGTCGCGTGACGTCAGCAGCAGCGCAGGGACGTAAACAACAACTAGGGGTCTCGCGCCTCTTTTATGGTCTTCCTCTTGACATTCTCCTGTTAAAGACATAAATGAAAAAACATGCAGCACATTCATGTTTTTTTTTTTTTTTTATGGCAAAGGGTTGTGTGCTTACATAGCTTTATTTGAGCCATTACATCCAACAAACTGTGTATGCCCTTAATTCTGGACTTATTTCAGATCATCTAAACTTACTGTTTTATGAATCTTTTGCCGAATGATTTGAATATATCACAAACACGTTGCATATAGTAGATTTTAAGTAGAAGATGTGCACAAAGGTTTGCTCTATTGACTGCAAATCTGCAGGTCTAGGCTACAAATTCCCCCCAAAAAGTCATTTAGCAGACGGTTTATGTCTAAAACAACGTTCATCATAAATATAAAACACAATGAAGCATCTTGAAAAGATAAAACAACATCTGTAAGAGCCGACAAACAGCTTTAGGACTGATTGGACACAAATGCACAGAGCACAGCGTGTAGAAAATAGATTTTCATCAATACCTTTCATCTTCATGAATATTCTAATCAACACCACCCTCAGTAGCATTATCGGCCACATCCTCCTTTTAATGTCATGAAGTGCATAAGTGTTCATGAAAGAGCTGGGTCTTCATCTTTTTCTTGAAGAATGAGAAAGGGACTCTGCAGAGCCAGTTGAGTTTGGAACAGGGGACAGCACAGTTTGTTCATTCATTTCACCACATGGGAAAAACTCAGGAGGAGAGTCTGGACGTATAGAGCCCTGTTGTGAATGTAGGACCAGGTGCCTTTCATTGGCAGAGAGCAGCATTCACCTGGATGAGGAAGTTCAGGTAAGGAGGAGACATTTTTGTTGCTGTTTTGTAAGCAAACAACCGGGTCGCTATAAGGGGCAGGCAGGAGTATTTTAGGTATTTGTCAGGAGGCTTTATAGGCCCCCCTCAGCCTCTAGTCATTTGCCTGTAACTAAGTTTGTGTATAAATCTCACCACCCTTTCTCTGTACATTCAAATGTATAATTCAACTGAAATCTTTGCACTGGCAAATGTCAACAAAGTATGTTTCAGCAGCATCCTGTTACTTACTCTGACACCTATGGCTGCAGTTTCAGGCATTGAAAGTGACTACGTTGAAATGATCAACCCTGATGGTCCGGCTTGCTTCTATAAATCACAAAGAGGCTTTCATTTTAATTTGTTTCATAAGCAGCTGAAAAACTCCTCACAGGACGTGTTATGAACATCAAACTGGGTGTTCAATTTGTGAAGAAAGTCCTGCTAAAGCTGCACAACGGGAGATTTATAATTACTTCACATGCATTCAAAAGAAGAGGAAGACTCTGACCGAGAATGAAACACCCAAACGTGCAACATCAAAAATTGTTCCCAGGTGCGAGCAGCCAAGGATGGCATTCTGCAATTCTCCTTTCAGTATCAAATAAATAAAGAGGAAACAGCTCAGATAGAGGCAGGTTAAGTTCACAGGGAAAACAGCAGGAGAGAAAGTACACAGTTAGGAAGTGTTGTTCACTCCCACTGAGACAGAGAAATACCACCAGAAAGAAAGTCACCTCAGCACAGTAAACTCCCCCTGTAGAGTGGCTTTCTGTCAGCGACAGCAGGCACGTTGTGGAGACAGCAGAGTTCACCGAGCCTGTGAGGAAGGTGAGTGGTTTTCTCACCCTAGACTGCTGTAATCCTTCTAATCTCCTCTGTCTGGAAATAGCTCGGGTTATCTGTCCATCGATTGACCGCAACATCAATCCCCAGCTACGTAATGAAGAGGAGGAAGCACACAAGACACACACAGGCCAAACCACAATTACATTAGCCTTAATGGTTTTTTGTTTGAATGAACTGACAGTGTGGTGGCATTATTTACATGTAATGTGAACGGCGGGAATGTGACGTAAACATAATTAACAAAACATCATCCCAAAACCCAATTAACACAAGAAGCCAACAGCATGAACGGAGGATTGATACCAAGAGGAGCAAAGATAAGATGATGTAAGAGGTAGAAAAATAATAAAAAGTTATAAAAAAGAGAAACCATAAAATTAAATAAATAAAAGGAAATAACAATGATATCAAATGAGATTAAAGCATTACTAAATAAAAGCAGTAAAAACAACCGGCCCCATCCAGAGATCAAGCCCCTCAGTCTGAGATTCCTCAGGTGAGGGTATCCTGGTCTCTCCAAAGTCGAGGCTCAGATCCAGAGGTGATCATGCTTTTGCACCCATGATGACTTCTAAATGATCTGCCTGAGGAGGCATGCAGAATCCATGAGATCTTCTAAAATAGACTTGCTTGTGCATAATGTTGTCTTCCTCTTTTTAGCCTTTTTATCGCCCATTTCTGTTTTACTTCTGTTCACTGTTACTTCTCATCCTTGCTGAATTTACGATTCAACACACAGTTATTGTATATTTAAACGTACTGTATGTTACAAACTGTAACCCAAAGTGAGATTTGTTTTCCTTTTTCCTCATTAACATTCATCAAACA